TGGCACATGTGCTAGAAACGAGAGCACTGTGTGTATTATATGGTCAGCATTTTGCTAAGCTCCAATTAGGTTAGTCAGTATTCACTGTTAGGAGAGTTATATAATGAGAAACTCCACTAAAAATGAAAGGTTGACTCAAGTAGAAAAGAAAAGCAGGCTCCAGTGGTTTTCTCAGGTGCAAATTTGAAAAAGAATTATTACTAATAGTGAAGTTATTGCCACATATGATGCTAATGTTTTCTTTTGTTAGAATGTATTCATTGAAATTGTATAACTACAATACATTTTATTTGCTAATGTAAACAAATGCAAGAGCAAAATAACATTATGTATACTTAGCTATCTATTTTTTGATAGCCTAGAAGAATCTTCTATAGTACATACTTATTTCTAAAAGGGTTAATTTTAATTACATTCATTGATTACCTCTGAGTTATCAAAATTTAACATATTATATTTATGTCCCTTGGATCACCTATTATCTCAAATCCAATTTTTCTCCAAAAAGTAACCACGGCTATCACTGATATGTGTTTGATTGGTATTTTTTGTATATATATATATATATATATATTTCACACTGATAGGATAGTTATTTTTTAATGGTATTTATATTCCTGCACCTATACCTTGCTTTATTCCAACAACTTGTCTTGCATGCTAGAATTTTAAGACTGATTTATTTATTTATTTATTTATTTATTTTGCTGTATACCAGCTAGTCCACAGTGCAGTTATGCCATGATTAAGTCACTTCCTATTGGACATTTGATTTATGGCACATTTTCTCAATTACAAGCAGTGTAGCAGTGAATTCCGCAGTGCATTCATGCACGTGCTTGGGCAGTCATTTTCACAGTGTGATACCTGGATAGCAACAGCAGTGTCACCTGGGAATTTGTTAGGGATGCAGATAGCCAGCCATGCTCCAGACCTACTGACTGAGACAGACTCAGCGGTCTGTAGTATATGACAAGCCTTCCAGTTTCTCTTATGCATAACATTTGAGAAGCACTGGCAAGTGTGTGTGTACGCCTACATGCATACATGCATACAGTCTGTCCTTTTATACTGTAACATATATGTTCCTAAACATCCCTGCACTATGCAAAATTGTACAATAAAAGTCACAGAGCTTATAGAAAAATGGAGCCAGGCACAACAATAAAAAAAAGTCTCATCAATGACATGAAAATAAAAGCTGGGATTCTAATAAAAGTATAGCATAGTTTGAAACATGTTACATGGGTAAATAACACAAATGCTGTAGTAAATATGGCACTTTCCTTTGAAAAGACCTAAAGTTTGCCGATGGAAGTTGGCAGTGGAGGGGTTGCCCCTTTTGAGTTATTGGGTGGGTAATGGAAAGAGGATTGTCTGATATTGGAAGGAAAATTTTAACCCCAGATGAGGTGGGTGTGGCTTGCAAGCCATGTGGTGAACTGGACCACTTGGTTCCATTGATGTGTGCGTATGTGGGCATTTGGGTTATTTCTATTGGACACAGCTCAGTCAGTGCAGTTGTCTGCTTTCACCTAGCCTTTCTCAGTGATACAACTGCATGTAAGCAAATATGAAATTGGAGTTATGCCCCAAATTTTCCTCAGTATCATGTTGGAAGAAATTTGTCATTTTTATATAAAAGAATACATTCTGTTAGGCAAAACTGACTATATACACATATATGTACATTTATATATTATTATATTTATATATTATGCAAAAATCATTTCCTACATTGTACTCAAGCAGCTTGTCGACTTAATTTTTTTCACTTAGTGTCTCTTAGAGCTTTTTCCATAAATCACATAGATACTAATTTAAAAAAAAATAAAAATGGCATTTAAAGCACTGAGACAGCTAAATTGATCTTCAAAATACTTGCACCTTTTTACACTGCTATCAACATACTCCTTAAATCCTGGGCCAGTATTGCCTTTTATCAAAGTTATTAAGTTTTGCCAAGCCAGTAAACTTCAGATTTCTCTCCCCACCCCCAATGTATAATCATGCTGAGAGGTATGTTACCCATGAATATACTGATAGAAAAAGAAGCTTTAAACCAAGACCTGTCATGTGAAGGTACAAGATCCCAATGATAAATGTAACTGTATTGTATACCGAAAATGTACTGATAAACTCAGTGAGGAAAAAAAAAAGGAAAAGAAGCTTTAGTGGTACCACAATGGGAAAAAAATGAAATTAAGTGGATATGAGAGAAAACAAGAAAAACCTATTAAAAATGGAGCAGAAAGATTTGACTCTGTTTATTTTTATTTATTTTTTACCTTTGCCAATACAACTTATCCACTTCATGAGATAAGATATTGAGTTGACCCTGTTGGGATTCCATCTATCACTCTAGCTAGTTGACATCTCCGAAAATGCAGCTTACACTGTTAATCCATTCACTTCAGCAAAACATGCCTAAGGGCATCAGATGCTTCTGTTTATCACTGTTGGGTTTCATGGCCCTGACAGGCTGAGAAGACACAGCTGAGTGGGGTAATGTGATGGCTTCAACACTGGAGTCTGGGGCCCCAGAATGCAAAAGCTATAGAAATTGAGACTCATGCAGGTGTCAGATGTTCTCCTGTAAAGAGATTGGCAGTGAGTGAAACTGCTTCCAGCTGGGCACATTACCACACAGGAAAGCCATAATGATTTAATAATTAAATCATATTGGTTTATGATCATTGTTCTTATTAGGAGAAATCATTGCTTTTGGATGATTTATTGTGTGGAACTAAATTTTCATATAAGCACTGTGATTTACATTTAATGTCATATATACTTGGATATCTACCTGTCCATCTGTCTATGTTTCCAAATTAGGATGACTTACTAAAATAATCACCAAAAAATAGGATGAAATATTGATGTGAAGGTATTAACATCCAGAGTTACTTAAGGAAATGTAGAAATTATAAAGATTAATGTTATCTCTTCAGATTCAGTCATTTTAGATGCAGTTTCCTTTATTTGAAAGCAGCAAGAAGAGAGAACTACTAGCTGGACCAATCTTTGTTTGCAATTAGTTTTTGTATACCTTGGAATCTAAAACTATGATATTATTAATAAAGTATATAAAATTACACTCATATAAAAGACTTTTGTGAAATCAGCATTTCACTTCTAAGGGACTCCTTACTTGAGGTACTTTAACTGATAAAAGAACTTTCAGTCTCATGAGGCCTAAAGCAGCTTCACTGAAGCAGGCAAGAACATTGCAAATGGCCTCTGCCTCTGCCTCTGCCTTAAAACTATGATATTATTAATAAAGTATATAAAATTACACTCATATAAAAGACTTTTGTGAAATCAGCATTTCACTTCTAAGGGACTCCTTACTTGAGGTACTTTAACTGATAAAAGAACTTTCAGTCTCATGAGGCCTAAAGCAGCTTCACTGAAGCAGGCAAGAACATTGCAAATGGCCTCTGCCTCTGCCTCTGCCTCTCTCATTGTAAGTCCAGCTCCCAGGATTAACCCAGAGTGCACAATTTAGTGGTGAGTTACAAGGGCACAACCAACCATTTCATTGACTAATCTATACCCGGGGCTGGCTGCATCACTTGCAGGGGCCAGTGCAAAATGAAAATGTGAGTCTTCTCATGCAGAAAGCAGAAGAGTGCCACTTTAGCTGCTGAAGGTGCTAAGATATAAAGCTTTGTCTTATCTTTCATGATCTCTCTCTCTCTCTCTCTCTCGATTTAATATAGTATTTTTATTTACTATTTATTACTGTTACAAGAAAAACTAAAATTTTGTATCATTAGCATGAATTTTTCTGTTCATCTTTATATTGTATAGTGCAGGTTTTATTGCAAATTCAGGAGCATTTAATATGCATATGGAATTGTCAAAATGATAGCTTGCATTTTTTAGTTTTGACAAGCATATGTTTTTTTCTTGCCAGTGAGGTAGAAATGCTTTACAGAAGAAATTCAGCCATTTTTATTTCATTTCTTAATGCTTATATAATCTATCAACATTCTCTACTTTCAGCCTACTGATGAGTAAGGGAAAACTATAAGAAAAAGAAATTATGGACAGTCCTATTTTTTCCTTTCCCTCTGTTTTCATTTTCACTATAAGAGGTTAGCAAATATAGGGAAGTAACAGGGGAGAGGTTATAACAGAGATCATTCAGCTTCTAAGAGCACTATTTCCTTTTTTCAGTGATACAAGCAAATTTTGGTTTGCATGGAAAGCGTGACCTCTTGGAGCTGTCCAAGCCCCAGCTCACTCAGTTCTGAGGAACATACTTACCTTATACTCCAATTGTGTCTCAACAAACTCCCACGCTTTGTGGCCCTCCCAGAATCCTGAGCTCCTAGAGGGAATCATGAGTGCTATCATGAGTGCCAACTGGGCACCTAGGATCTGCACATAACATGTGTGTCTCCTTTGTTCTCACACGTTCCATTGTCTCCTCAGACCCCCCTTTATAAAATCTATGATTTAACCTATGATTAAATTCTTAAGAATTTCAAGACTGTGACAGTAGAGTATTGAATCAAGTGTGAAGTACTTCTGCATGTGGGCTTGTCTGTGCAGGTCATGCATCCATGAGGCCAGGCCCTTACTGCATCCGGGGAAGCTGTGAAGCAGCCTGAAGCCTCATGTATGTGCAGTGTATGGAGGCAGGGAGCTGGTTCACCGCAGGCTGGACACTGCCTGTAGAGGTGGCAAAATGGTATCCTTGAGATGCTTCTGGTGAATTAATATCTCTCTCTTTTTTTCTTTTTTTTTGTACCAGGGATTGAACTCAGGACCTTGTGCTTGCAAGGCAGGTGGTGGAACCACTGAGCTAAATCCCCAGCCCGAATTAATATCTCCTTTAGACAACTGGATCTCTTAGGTGCCCTCCAGTCCCTAAGGAATGGATCTTTCAGTTGGGTAGCTACAAGCTCCCAGCTGCAGCAGTAACCAGTGAATCCTCATTCAATCAGTCTCTCTATATCCTGTAAGTAACAGTTTTTCTGTTTTCCTCCCAGGATTTCCAGCAGGAGAGCTCCAGAAGCCTTTCTTTTGGGGAACAGAATATCCTCGGTGAGTAAATTAATAAAGAAACCAGTTATTGGCAAATTAGGAGGAAGAGCATGCTGCTTTGTCAAAAGATAGAAATACAAAGTCAAAGAAGTAAAATCAATGATAGTTCAAATACAGGGCATGGAACCTAGTGTGGGTCAGCTGTACTCTTACCATTTTAGGTCTTTTTATTTTCTATTAAGTCTTTGTTTTCCATTCTTCATTGCTAGATATGTAACTACACTGGAAGGCCAATTTATACATAGATGTTTTTCATTTTTATGCATTTATTCATTTGAAGGATTGTTGTAGATATGATGTTCTAAAACCTTTCCAGGCTAAGAAACAATAAGAGCAGAGAGTCCAGTTGGCTGTCCCAAGTGATTAAAGAACCTAGTGGAAAATAGTCTGAAAAAAAAATGTTGAAGTTGGAAATTAGATGAGGAGCTTGGACAATAACAAGCAATAGAAAATCTTGAAGTTTTTAAACAAGTAAGACAATCAAATATGTCTTTAGAATATTATATGTGTAGCTATAGAATAGGTCAAAATAGTGCCTGAATGTAGGACTACCAGTTTAAAGGCTGTTAATAACAATAGATTGTAGATTTATGTAATTCAGAATTTCCATATACAATAGAGATTCTCATAATATTCATTGCTAATAACATCAATACTTTTAGCCCTTGTGTGTTTTGGTGCCTTAATGCATGGAAAATTTTGTCTGGATTTTAGAAGTTGAATCTTCTGTGTTTTGCTTTGGACATTTGACAACTTTCCTATGATCATTGAGATAAAAAAAGATGTGGGATTTCACAGTTACATACATAAGATAAATACAGTGGCAATATTTTGATTAGGGATTCTCCAGTAGCAGTCCCTGTAATAAGGATTCAAGTGCAATTCATTTTTTTATTCCATTATATTTATTGGTACATTTTAGGTATACATTATGATCACATTCATCATTGGGAATTTGTACCTGCAAGTAGTTCTTTTGGGAGGTGGCACCAGAAAACACAAGCAGAGGAGAGAGGAAGTGAGACAGAAAGGAAGGAAGCCAGTAAATTGTGTCCTGTGAGTCTTTTGTGGCTGCCAAAATGAATTACCACAAGCTTGGCTTAAAATTACATGAATTTACTAGAGTATAGTTCTGTAGTCCAACCTGGCTCCCACTAGGCTAAAATCAAGATATAAACAAGGCTGCTTTCCTTTGTGGAAGCTCTAGGGAAAAATATATATTTCCTTATCTTTTCTACCCTTTAGAGGTGGCCTATATTTCTTGGCCCTTAGTCTTTCTCTCTCTCTTGAAAGTTCCATAGTCCTATCTCTTTTTGACTCTTATCTTTTGCCTCTCTTTTCTACTTTTAAAAACCTTTGGGGTTACATTGGCCTACCTAGATAATGCAAGACGATCTTTGTTTTATATTCAGCTAATTGATAACCTTAATTCTTCTTTGACATATAATATAACATTTTCACAGGTTCCAGGGAATAGCAAGCATGTGGACATCTTTTGGGGGCCATTATTCTACAGTACTTACTGAGAGTGTGTTACAAAAAGCAAGTTATCACCATGGGCAACTGGAACTCAGTCTTGCTAGTGAACCATAGAACATGTCACCCAGGGACAAGGAAGCTGGGAATGTATCCCTCAGCTCACACTCTGTCATTGATTTAGGTCTTCTAGGAGGGGCCTTGACTCTGTTGCAGTGCTCAGCCAGCCTAGGTTAAGAGATCTCTGTTCACTGGAAAAAGTCCTGAGGCAATTACTTTCAGGAGCCAGGTGTTGAAAGCTTTCAAATTGGGCTCCTCAGTAATGCTGAGTGCCAAGGGAACATAGGCAGTCACCAGTAAAGCCTACAGAGAGAAATCGCCATACTTAGAATAAATGCAAATTCTAGGTTTGTATTTAATCAACCCCATTAATACCATCCTAGGTCTCAGCTACAGTTTTTTTTTTTTAGCATTTAGATACTTGCAATTAATGTTTCCTGTATTTAAGATTAGTTATATATGTATATATTTCCATAAAATTAAAGTTGTGGGTTAATTATTCTCTAAGTTCCCTTCAAACTAAAAAAAAAAGCTTTAGAATTATTTTATTCTGCTTCTTAACAATTTGAATTTCTATTACTGTGGTTATGTACCTGCAGACTTGAAAAATACTTTGGTTAGGTTTGGAAGTTATTGATTCAATGATTTGTTTATTGGATTTATAAACCTGAATTCCTGAAATAATTGTCCAAATCATAGAAAGAATTAATGTTAGTATCATTTAATTTTATATTAGGCTGACCCATAGTTGATACTTGAGTGGGAGAGGGATTTGCATTTTTTTCCTAAACAGTTCTGTGTGTTTACCAAAGCCATCTATCATCTTAGTTAGGAAGCCACTCAATGAATAGCTATTATCATTTGGGTACTTGGCATTGGGAATATGGAGATACTGGAGACATGGGAATCTCAGGCTAGTCAAATGGCTTCCTACCTATCCCTCCATCCATCAGTTTTGCATTAATTCATGGATGGCCACCATGAACCAGAGGAGTGGGTATCATTTTTACTAACACTGGTCAGCTTAGCGCTCACTTGAGCATTAGCCTAATTATTAAGACATGAACAAGCCAAATTAATTCCAGAAGAATCAGGATTGTAATAGCATAAAGACAACATTTTTCAAAGTGCCTGTTTCATGAATCTCCATTTTGGAAAATTCCAATACTCATCAGCATAAAAGTTCATAACTTGTATGACAAAGAAACTTATTTAAATATATTTAACCCAGAGGCTTCTAAACTCTTTTCCCTTCATTTTTGGAAACGTTGGTCTAGAGTTTATGATTTAAGAGTAAGAATTGAAAGAACTTGGGGACATTTTAGTGTGGAACCTCATTACTGTTCTCATATTTTCAAGGGAAAATTAAGGTGACAGAATGATTTATTATATTCAGGGGAATCAGCAGGCATTCAACTAGAGACTGCAGTAGACCAATATATTGAAGACATGGAAAGAAAATTTAGATCAACACTGGGGAGAGCTGTTTTATTTAGAACCACCCAAAGAGGAAATGGGCAACCTAAGAAGGGGTCGAGTCTCTGATCATTGGAAATATCCAAGCAGAAGTCTAGGGCCATCTGAATGGGTTTTTGTGGAGGGACTCATGCCTCTGGCGGGGAGCTGATCTATATGACCTTAAAGCCACTTCCAAGTTGGAGATTTTTATGATTTTATGGTGCAGGCATAAAGGTAGCCCTTACCTGACAACAACATGGGATTGTGGTGAGCCCAGACAGCACAAAGACATATGTTTAACACATCGGATAGTAAGAACAAAAAAGAAACTGAGTTGGTAGTAAAATTGTTGTTTTCCATTTTATTTTTGGAAGGCTAGATCATCATTGCAGGAAATCTTCCAGTTTCTGGCCAGCCAGTTGCATTTTAGAAGGCACATGAGTTTATTTTTTCATGACATGCTAATTTAAATAATGCCCATTGATAAAATGGAGGATGTGAATTTAATATTATGAAACATTATGATTATAAGGCTTGGTCATGTAGAATTATAGTACTTTTTCTTTGTCTTTTGTCCAAAGAATTGTGATTTTTGTAACCAGAATTGAAATTTACAATGACTCAACTCCTTTTTTTATTTAGTACATATTGATCACATTCATCATGGGGAATTGTGCATGTACATAATAAATATTAATTCTTTTTTGTTCCCTTCCTCTTCTCTCCCTCCAACCTGCCTTTCTTCCCTCCCAATTGCAAAAACTCTATTTTCAGGCTGGGGATTTAGCTCAGTGGCGCCACTGCCTGTGTGCTTGACAAGTGCAAGGTCCCTGGTTCAATCCCTAGTTCCAAAAAAAAAAGAAAAAAAACCCAACAAAACTCTTTCACTTTTTCCTTCAACTCTTTCTTCTTTTAAATCCCCTTCCTCTTCCTTTCCTCTTTCTTCCCCCTTTTTTTGTTTCCTTTCCCATTTGAAAATATTCTTCTACTTCCTAATATCTATCCTCTGTTTTGCTCCTTATTTTTACTTTGTGATTTGATCATCTTCTGAATTCTCTTTTACCACTTGCAAATAAGAGTTTGTTGGAGCATTCCCTCTTACAGGGCATTTGTTGCAGAGCAGTTCCTATAAGCTTTCATTGTTCATTCTATAAATTCATAGAGTCAACAGCATTGAATTAGGGTTGTAGAGGACTGAGTACTTATTCTCAGACATGAGGAAACTGGAAAAACTTAATGTTGCAGGCTGCACAGTGATAGCTACTGCTGCAAAAATTAGCACTGTAAAATTACAAGTTTGTCCCACACTGCTATGATAGCCCTATGATTGAAATGCATAATTTTACTCTTACTTCTCTAATAGAGGTTTGCAATGATGGAAAAACAGTAGGAAGTATTTTTTCAAATGCAAATTACCTTGCAGGAAAGAAATAACAAAGGAAAGAATTGCCACCAAGGGGAAAAATTAAATCTTACAGCACTTCCTTGGGTATAGTTGAGACAAACAATTAGCATGTTAAGGATCATTATGTCCTGTAATAACACATTGCTTCAAAAATGTCTGTTCTTTCCAGTTATGGGTCCTATTTATTTGCTGGGTGACTTTGACGTTGCATGTCAGGAACCAGCTGTGACATGTTTTTAGCATAATTGCAATCTCATGGGGAATCCTTACAATAAGGATTCTAAATTGTCTATAGTTCCCACCTACAGGTCAAATGGCTTAAATATGTTACCTATAGGTCTGCCACTTGCATGAAATGGTAAAGTTAATCATTAGTTAAATCATTGCTAAATTTCTTACTGGGTACTAGGTACAAATAATTTAGCAGTAAACAAGTTAGCAAGAGTTTGGCCTTCTTGGAAGTTATAGTTTAGAGAGAAAATTCTGGACACACAGAAATACAAACCCCTCTGTTGATTTCTTCATATATGTGTACTTCATTTCAGTTCTTTATGGCTACATAACAGCACCACCAAGCAACCAGTCATGGGCTCATGATACTGCAGGCTAAGACAGCTTGTCCCATTTGTTTGTATTGACTGGGGTAGCTCCACAGGGCTAGAGAATCTAAGGCAGTGATGGCGAACCTTTTTTTTTTTTTTTTTTTTTTTTTTTTTTTTTTTTTCACACACAAAATTTTTTTTTTT